GAACCGCCCAAAAAACCCTTGTTTCCACAAAGTCCACTGTAAGAGGCACATGTGTTCATGCAGACAGGAAATGAGAATAGGTGGCATATAAGGCTATAACTGAGACAAACAGGCTGGCGGACTGATGTCACCCGAGGCTCAAAAGTTTCAGGCAGGGACTGTATCAAAGATGTAACATCTTAGAAAAGGTGCAAGACATAAATCCCTGATATAGGTTGAGGGTAAATTGACCTGAGCCAAAACTGTGTCCCAACCTATACGGTCCCAACAACAACAACAAAATCACATATGAAAAAAGAAATGCGGGCTAAAGTGGAGAAGTGTAAGGGTATCTGCAGAAAAACCCCTCAGGATTTCTGTGGAAAGCCTCTGATAGGAGATGTATATAAGAAAGATACTGTAAGAGGTTGGTTAGGGCAAGATGTAGGTGAAAATATTGGGCATGGGTAAGACTAACATTAGATTTAGGAGCTGTCTCCCAACTAGGTAATAATGCACCTAACAACTCCTGATCTAAAAACAGATAGTTCACACGATGGTAAGAAAGTACAAACTTATCAGAAGGCCTCGGGAAGCACGGCATGCTGATCCCTTCACTTAGTTGCAAGACAAATTGATCCACTAATAACCAAATATCAGGGGACGGAGGAAAACCAAAAATGGTTGGGAAACTTGTTCATGTAACAAGGAAGGATGAGAGGAATAAGAAATAGAGGAAAGTGGCAAAACATCACAAACCTGAGACACAAAATCCATAGTTTATCTACAGCCTTCTGAAAACAAAAAAAGCCATTTTGACATGATGTATCATAAATAATATTACCAGTCACTATCTTTTTTTTTAACAATATGCCATTATTATGAATTTATAATACAAGTCTAAAAAATCCCAGCTGTTGGCTGCACAAAATTGATGGATATCATAACAAGGCATAGTACAACATAACTCACTTACAAACACTTCAGCAGGTTAAGAGCATAATATGTAAAAAATATTAGGTTACCATACACTAAGTACACTTTTCTTATTATTTAGACTGAACACTTGGTTGTTTTTAAGTCCATTAGTAGGAGTGCAATTCCAAGACTTACCTGTAAGCAGAAGTGAAACTTTGGGTCTTAATAATTAACCAAAAAATTCTTTGCTATAACACAGGTTTAATATTACTGACCAGTTTTTGAACAGTCAAAAAATAAGCAGTTAATCAATCAACTCACCAACCTTGATTTATAAGAGAAGGTGCTGCATATAAGGATTTAAAAAAATTATCTCTATGGGTATGGAGTTAAGTTGGTTCATTGGATAGAAAAGTGATTGGATAGAAGAAAGCAGAGTGTTGTTATAAATGGAGTTTAGTCAAACTGGATTAATATCACAAGTGGGGTACCTCATGATTCAGTGTTAGGACTTTTGCTCTTTTTGATTTATACTGATGGTATAGATGAAGGAATGGTCAATGAATTATTTGAATTTGCTGAAGATATTAAAGGTTAAGGGTTGTGAAGATGATAATGCTTTCCAAAAGGATTTGGTTTATTTGGCAAGTTGGGTGAATAAGCAGCAAATAGCTTTTAATTGCAATAAATGTACTAATCTTCATTTTTATTTGATGTCATATTAAAACACAAATTTTCATACACACCTACAATACCCTTACCTGTCTTGTAAGAGTTAGTATATCATTGGTCCAAATGCTAAGTTCACCATTCCCAGGCTGTGCTTCAAAGTCATACAAAGCACGTAGCTGCAAAAAAAAAGAGTAATTTAAAATTACCATGCTTATC